GTTTTTTAACTTTCAAATGTACAAGTCTCTCATCGAAAGTACTGTAGGTTCTACTTCTGAAACTTAGTTCTAATTTTTGGATTAAACAATTTGGGGTATTTTGGGATGGGTGGGAGGGAATAAAAGTAGTTTAATAACATCTGGCGCTGAGTTCCTGGAGAACTACAGTTTAGCACTACTCAGGCTACTGTGAAGAAAACAAATACATATTATGGTCTCTGTCTACCTTTTAACAAGGTCCTCCTTGCTTGAGTTTGAGGGGAAGGGGAACAATGGATTTGCCAAAATACATTTGTTTCACACTCCCTTCACTAACTGCAGTCAAGATTGCAATGATGTATTTGTAGTTTTATGAACAGTCTCCTTGTGTATTCTCACACTGCATGTGCAAGATAAAATTGCTTCACATACCACTTAGTTGTTGCAATATTGAATTCAATAACATAAATTATCTGTATTTAAGAACTTTTTTGTGCAATACAGTCTTATGGTACATAGAAATAATTGCAGCAAAACCAGAAAGGGGCTTGCATTTTATTAACATCACTAACACAGAAAAAAGCCAATTTTTCAGGTGTAGCATTATTCAACATGCTGTACTAAGTACAATACACTGACTTTTTGAAGCCAATATTTCTGTGTACGAAAAAGAGCTATTTATCACTGTTTATTTAAGATAAGTCAAGTGGGGATTCCTCTGGTTGTTCACTGCCAAAAAGATGGCATTTTCATTAGTGTTTGCAATGTCAAAAAGAAAAAAAAAAGCACAAACCACTTAAAGGGATCCATGTCTGGGTGACACAATTTATGCGCTGATATTGTTTAATTGTTATAAGAACAAAGATTTTCAATGTACACTTCAGATGTCAGATACTGTAATTGATTTATTAAAGACTGGTGATCCAGTTCTAACACTGTTGTCTAATGTTATGTACTTCAGCAAAAAAAAGTTTATAATTTAGTTTTTTGAATAAAGAAGTTTAATAAAAGATTGCCTACATGTAGCATTTTAGAGCATTTTAGAACATTTTGATAAATTGCATCTGTCCTGTAAGATATTTTCTTTTAAAGAGAAATCCAGTGAAAAGATGTTTTTTTAAGTAGTATTTTACAAAGGGGAAGAGAGGCTAAGGAAGACTTCACTCATCTTATAGCCTCTTTGATTTTGAAAATCTCTTTGAAAACAAGGGGTAGAGATTAATGTTCAAGGGCTTGTGATCCTACACTCCTTACCCAAGGAAAACTGTTGAAGGTAACTGGTGTCTTTCTTGGGTAAAGAATTCTGAATATTAAGGGCCCAGTACAATGAGAACTAAGAAGGCAGCACAGTGTTCAAATCACCTTGCTGCTATGCTATTTTTGCAGGTGACTAGCTTGGCTTTTTTTAAAAAAATGTCCTATTTTGATATGCACTTTGATGTTTAAAGATAAAGTAACTTGTAACTTACAAAACACCACCTTCATACTTACAGTACACAAAACTGTTCTGAGTGCTAGCATCCCTGGCAAATTATCTTGAAAGGTAAATAATAGGTGGTTTTGAATTAAAATTTTAAATGTCCTTATTACTAGGAATGTTATCCTTATTAAGGCTTAGAGGCAAGAGTCTTCTCCCTTACACCCATTTAAATATGGAGAACCTCCATTAACTTTGGAGTTGATAGATTATAGTTTTGTAATGGAGCAGAATCTGGCACTGAAATGTTGAGCCCTTCCCCCAGTCTTTAAATTACTTCTGATGTGCTGACCTCTGTACAAAGCACCATTGAACTCAATGGGCCTCAGACAGGCACAGGGATCTGCTTGCATGGAATAACTTGCAGGATTTGGAAATCAGTTTATTTTCTGGGGGTTATTTTTTCCTTTATTTTACTACCTCTCTCAGACTCTTATTATTATTATTATTATTATTATTAATTATTATTATTATTACTATTTTATTTATAGAACATGTTTCATATAGCAGATTTGGGGAATTTTTTAAAATTATCATTTTTACTTGAAACCTATGTGATTTTTGTGGATGAATATGAACAATTTGAAGAACTGTTTCTTGAACTCATTTGGTTTTGTAATTTATATAGAATTCAGGAGATTATTAAAAGGGCTATTCTTTATTCCCTATGCAAATATTTTAAATGTTGTAGTGTATGACAAAATGGGATTTTAAACACATTCTGCAAGGCAGAAAACAAAATTCTGTTTACAGTGGCGTTGCTGACTATCCTACTATATTCAGCACTTTTACATATTGTTGTTTTATGAAAATGTAGTTTAAAATGCAAGACATATTTATAAACATTTCTTTTAATAAATACCTGTTTTGTCTGAAAGTGTTGTTGTGTTATGACATACTTTATTCATGTTGGTTAGCTATTTACCATTATGAATAAAATATTCAATTATATTGATAGAGAGTAATAGCTATGATGTTTACAAAACTTTTCTTCCTGAAGGGAGGGGGCTGGAATTCAACAAGGAAGAATTGCCACCTTCTACTGTGAAATATAATTTAAAAATTAATTTAAAGATGCTTTTTCTTAAATAGAATGAAATTTGGTCTTACTTATCTAATGTGCCATTTAGTTAGACATATATTTACTATTGTACTATACATATATATATTAATATATGTATATATTTATAAGGCATGATTTGCTAGTGTTTGAGGCACAATGCATTTGGGTGCACACAACTAGTTGACGTGTAATAAGACAATACTGCATGCATAAGCCTTTAAATATGTAGACTTGAATATTCTTGATGTTACCATTTGATGGTGACCTGCTAGCCATAAGCTATCTTTATAAGATAACTTTAGATAAGTAGCTGTTCTTTTCAAAACAGACAGTTCATCCTTTTTAGGACACTTCTTAAGCTAAAGATAAGGGCCCTAAAATACCATGTTGATTTCTAACATAGGCATTTCAGAAATCTATGTCTGGAAACTGTTACATCTTTACATAGATCTTTAGTGTAATAGAGTAATATTGCAATGAGATTATGTTCTAAATACCCTAAATTCAGGGATTTATACACTGATCATAAGTTATGACACAAACTTTCTTTCCAGGAGTAATTAAATATTAATATAAACTTCAATAATTAGATTTTTTTATATTAAATGAATAGTCAATTATGGTCCATGTCAATTTATAGATATCTAAAGCAGTTTAAATTCTGATATTGATATTAACAACAAATTGGCTCATAACACAATCTCATTGCTTTCAGTATAGTATTTTTTGGGAAAAATGTAAACAGGCAAGCTATTAAACTTGAGAACTGATTTACTTGTACATACAATACAAATTTTAAATTGCCCAATACACTTATTCTATACACTGGAATACTTATGGTCTCATGAAAAACTGAAATACAAGTAAGTACAAAATAAAATCTTAAGTTTTACAAAAGAAAAAAAATCTTAAATGCTCATACATCAGAAGAGCATCCTGCAAACACCTATGCATGGCCCTAAATAAGTAAAGCATTAAGGCATATGCTTAAGTCACATTGGCTTCAAGGAAACTGGACTTGTGATGATCTCTCGAGGTCCCTTCCATTTCTAATATTCTATGAAACTAAACATGGGCTTTGCTGAATTGGGGATCATGTGATATAGGTTGCCCAAATAACCTTACAGAAGCCAATAAATGGTTCTGTTTAAATTACTCACAGGCATAGGTGGTTTGTGCAACAGTATGCAGGCAGCTACGGTACTACTATTTTTATGTTAAATAAATGTGGTCCAAATTCTAATTTGGAGCCAGATCCGCCTCCCCCGGCATAGGAAGTCTACACAGATAGCACATGCCTGGGAAGGTAGGAGGATGCCCTCCCTGGCAGAGTAAGTGTATATAATTGCTGCCATATATATTGGGCTGAGGATCTAGAGGGGAAAGACCAAATTTAAATTACAGTAAGGGCTTCCTAAAAGGCTTGTTTTGCAGATGCTTCCTCGAATATGTTCTCAATAAATCTGATTCAAAGTCCACTGGACTATTTTCTTCAATGACCTTTGAATCAGGATCCATGTCCTACAAGTGGTAAGGTCAACAGTTATCAATAGCTGTAAACCTTCTCCTTGCAGAATTAACAGTCAAGGACCCACAGGCATCCTGCTGATGGACTAAATGGATTTAGACTTCACACACCTGGATAACCAAAATGTCAGTTTTATCTTGCTCGTTCCTTTCTGTCTACCAACTCTCAAATAAATTTCCCTTCACATGCTATTTGCTACTGTTGTGCAGGTTATTTGAAGACAAATATTCGATACGGGGCTTAGAAGACTTGTGTTTTTAATATATATGCCCAATGATAGAGCTTCAACCCTGTTCAACCCTATCCCATATACTTCTGCCAATAACAGAAGTAATCTGTGAGGAATGGGAGGATAGTGCATGATGGTGCCAAAATCTGCCACTTTTTGGACTCACATTAATACTGTTTGCACACTAGCTTAATTCTTGGAGCCACAATTTGACTCTACTTGTCCCATAAACTAAGATAGCCGTACAAAGACTTTCCCTGTAATTTAAAATTGTGATACAAGCCAGATGATTCAACTGCTGACAGTAAGTCATTAATTTATCTTGGCTTTTTTCCTCGCAAGCTTTAATTTATGCTAAATCATCTTATCCTCTGAGTTTCCTGGCTTTTGACAATTTGTCACAAAGCGTATTAATTATACATAGTAGTTATGAATTTCATAAATTCTAACATCCATAGGAACTCAAGTATTTGGGCCTATGAAAACCATAAAACTTTTATAATTTTTCTTTTTTTCCTTTGATGATGCTTACTGTATTAGATTATCCATCATACTTCAGTGAACTCCACTGACAGGTACCAGTGGATCACAAAGAAGCTTTGCATGCATTAATAAGATTTCAGAGGCAGTGCTTTAGGCTATTTCTTAATGCCAGACTAACTTCAGAGACTGTACATTCACTGCATATCTCTTAAGTGTAATTTTCTTTTTTTTTAAATTGCTGTTATAATGTATTTTGTCAATCCAATTGTATACAGTGACATAACTTGCTGAACAAGGTTTTTTAAACGTTGAAGAATTACATTTTAAATAGCCATTTATTTTAATATACAATATTTCACAAACCATTATTTCTTGTTGTATGTATTTCCTGTAGATTTACAAAATGGACTTAGATTATACAAGTTTTCATTTCTGACTGTTGTGGCAACTTTACATGCATTTGCATTACATTAACTTTTTTAATAAATCTTTTGAAATTAATAACTCACTAATGTAAGCTTGGGAGAAGTTACTGTTACGCTATTTGTGTGTGTTAATTTAGTTGTAAAGTATGTTGATTTACTTGTTAATTTAAGATTAACTATGAAAGACAGAATACTTTGATTTGATTCCTTCCAATGGCTGTACTATAAGGTTATTGCTAAATATAGTTTAACAGATAACTGCACCTTTTTATAATATAATAAAGTATATTCTTTAAACTACTTATGTTTTGAGTTTAGCTGAGAGTCTTACTTCTGATGTCATCCAAAAGAAAGTAACTTTATTGCAAAACTGCACACAAGGAGATATCAGAAGGTATGAACTGATAATACCAGATAACAACATCAAAGTTATTGTACAATCTTTTATTATTCCACAGCCTATTACATAGCTTCTTTGTATATCTTTTGAATTGCCAATTCAATGGTGCAATATAATGTATGTTTTAGAAATGCCATCTTTAATGAAAACCCTACCCACTAAGCTTTGACTTAGAGAAGAGCTGGCGGCAATTTTTATAAATTATATAATGAAACAATTTAGTTCTGCTTTTTACTTTGAATGTTCAATTTTTGCATATGCTGTAACAACAGGATAGATATACAAAGATGCTGAAACTGTTAAGAAATTTCCTTCACCATTTTAAAGACTCCCAGTATCAGATGGAGTGGCTGAGAAACAGGGATGTTAAATTTAGTTTAATCAATTAATCAACTAGTCGATGGATTTTCCATCGACTAGTCGATTAGTGGGGAACTGCAGCTGGGAACTAACCCCACTGTGGCTCTGCCTTTTAAATGGATTAAGAGTCTGTCCACTGATTTTCGGCTTGCACAGGGTCCCCCCTCCTGGCATCAGCATCAGCTCTTAATCCATTTAAAAGGCTAAACTGCAGCAGGAGGGCCCAGCGCAAACCGGAACAGCTGTTCTTGGCTCATGCAGGGTACCCTACTGCACTTTAGTCTTTTAAATTGATTAAGGGCCGATGGGCTCTTAAAAAATTTAAAAAACAGAGGTACACCCAGTCCCCACTACTCCTCTGCTCCTCACAGACATGGTGCTGAGAGGAACTGGCTTTTAAGCCAGCTCCCCCCCTTGCTGCCTCTGATTTTGAGGGAAGTTACACTGATGTGAGTATACGGTTGAAGTGATCCAGATCTGAGCTAGGTTGGGATCCACAAGTGTTGTTCTGGATCTTAGGCTCAGAGCCTTTGAAGATACCAACATGGGTACCTAACTCAGTGAAATGAATGTGAGTTAGGTGCCTAGCTACCTTGGAGGATCTGGACTTTTGTACTTGGGCTCACCTGTTCACCACAGAAATTTGAGGAAATAAGATCCCTGTCCCTCTGATAGTTTCCCTTTGTTTCCATGCAGGAAAATTGAGGTTCCTACTGGTACCCATAGGGAACAGCAACAAAATGGAAGAAAAGAAGTGGGTTAGATTCCTGAGCTTGCCCCCAAAGGAGAACGGAATGTCTTTACAAGAAAGAAGTAACTGGGGCTGGCTCCAGAATTAGCCTCTGTTCATGCACAAAAGCTTTCCATCATTATTCACAAAAGGGTAGAGCCAGATGGAGTAGTCTCTCCATCAGTATTCAAGTGGCATGATAGCATTCAAATGAAATTATTCAGGCTGTGCTACACAGGTCAAGCTAGATCAGGATGGGTACCCTATTGCCTGCAGGCCAGATCCTGTTCATGGAATATCTTGGCATTACCCTATGGGGTTAGAGTTTCAAGTGCCAGCTCACCCTGCTGTGGGCATCTATGCCCTTGCCCCCTCCCCACCGTGGATGAGTTGAACATTTTTATTTATCTAAAAAAAAAATCCACAAAAACCAAAAACCTAAATTTAGTTGCTTTTCATTTGTATGTAGCCCACAATTTATTTTTCGTGCAGGTTAGATTATTATGGTCCTGTCTAGTTTTAAAATCTACTAATAGAGTAAGCTTGGACTATGGAATTCCAGCAGCATTCACTCTCCCATTGAGTGCATTGGAGTTAAGCATTCGAGACAATGAAATGACACAGTTACCCCTACTGAAATGGCATTTGACAGCTCATGTATGTATATGAAGATGTACTTGCTAGTAATGTTTCAATCTCCCAGGGAACAAACGTCACATGCCAAAATCACTGCCACAATTGGAATTCTTGATGTCATTTTCAGTAGGAAAGACACAAATTAAGAAAGAATGGAGAATGAATTATCATTATCCCATAGATCTAAAGCCACACTACTGCAGCATCAAATATGGTTTGTGGAGAAACAAAACAATTTGTATCATCAGTAGTGACTAACTGTGGAAGCTCTAGTGCAGAGGTTTTCAAAATTGGATTGCGGGCCTGTCCACATAAGCCACTGCCAGGCTGCAAGATGCTTTGTTTACCTAAGCATTCATAGGCATGGATCCTCACAGCTCCCATTGGCTGCAGTTCACCATTTCCAGCCAAGGGGAGCAGCAGAAAGCTAGATAAACAAAGCAGCTTGTAGCCCACCAGGGGCTTACCCAGGCAGGTCCACAACCCAACTTTGAAAAGCCCTAATATAGTGGATGTCCCATAAATCCAGGATGAGCTTTTCACTGCAGGTAAGATAAAACAAGAGATGAGTTTCTATTTTGCTTTTAACCTGGGTTAATAAAACTAGCATAGGACTGAGACTTGTCAGTACCATGGATAACCTAGTCATTGGACTGAAACATGAAAAACAAAGCATGCAAAGCCTCTATACCATGCAAGGACTGAAGTGATGTGGATAGGAGCCAAAGCAATATATAGAAGAGAAATGCCAAGGATTACTGAAATGACGACTAGGAAGGAGGTGTATTGAGCTGAAGCAATGCACATAAGGGACAGTACAGAGGTGAAGCAATATATATAGTGTGGACTGAACTGATGAATAGGTGGAAACAATGTCCCCTCTAATCTTTTCCATTCATGTGCAGAATTTATGTGCATTGAGGTATGTGTGAATGTGCACCACTAATAGAAACAGAAAACCTAGGCACTCTACTAATCAGCTGGGTGGCATTTGAATTTGTCCTGAGCAGCCAAACAAGCACACAACTTACAGCGAATGGTGCATGGGAGGAATACAGGGGGCTCATGACAAGTATGCAGCAGCTGTAATAATGTAGGGAAGGCATATTTGAGCTGCAGGGTACAGAAGTGTACAGGAGGCACACAGATATATGGGAGTAAGACACAAGGGCTGTAGTGATGTATTAGGGAAGGGAGGTATATTGGGGTTGAAAGGAGGCATACAGGGGCTTTATATCTATAGCCATGTATAGATGAGAGGCACAGAAAGGTTGTAGTGACATATTGATGGGAGGCATACAGGCCTGAACAGCCATACAAGAGCTGTAGTAATTGACGGAGGGGCCAGTATGGGGCTGTAGAGATGATGGGAGGCATTGCATGTATAGGTGGGAGTCTATAGGAGCTGTAGTGATGTACAGAAGGGGGAGCAGAGGCTGTAGTAAGGCAGGGGAGGGAGGCGTACAGAGGCGTTTGCAATGTATAGAGATGTTGTGCACAAGGGCTGTACCAGTCTATAGATAGGTGGGGTAGAGGGGCTGTGGCAAGGGAGGTACAGAAGGGGCCGATTTGGGGCTGCAAGGATGCGCAGCGCGGAGGGGCACACAGGGGCTGTAGGATGTGCACCCCGGCGGGTCCCAGGGCTGCAGCGCGATCTCCGAGGGGCTGTCTCGGAACGCTCCTGGATGCCCGCAGCCTGCAGCGAGAGTTCCGGCGGCAGAGTGACGGGGCGTGGGTCCGCCTCCTTTCCCGCCCCTTTTCCTGGGCGTCCAATCAGATCTCCGCTACCGCAAATCCGAACCTCGCCGGGTATTTCCGAAGCTTGCAGGGACCCGAGCGCATTCGGCACGTTCCGGAATGTCACTGTGAGACACCCGAGCGCGCCGGAGGCAGACCCGAGTCTCCTCGGTTCGTTCCGCAGAGGCGCCCTCGCCTGGGACATGCTGCTGCTGCTGCTGCTCGCGCGGCCTCTCCTCCGCGCGGCGCGCGGGCTGCGCGTGGCC